CAGAAAGATAGTTCTTGAAAGGGAAGAGAAAAATTATATAGTTGAGAGGGGAAATGTCCATCAGTTGTCAAGTTTTTTTCCTGTCCAAGCTTAAAAGTTATTGGAGTAACCTATCCAGCTAATGTCTTTGCTCAGATTTTCAACCATTTATAGGTTTTATCTTGAGGGGGAAAACAATGGTATAGCATGAAAAATGAAACTGAGTTTTGTGAACATAGCTTTGGTAAAGGAGGTGTGCAAGTTCCCTTTGGAATCACATTAGGCCGAGGATAAGCATGTAAACACAGTGTCAAAGCCATAAAATAGTTGATGGTTCAACTTACAAAAGTTGAAAGCCTTTGTTTTCAATAAAAAAAAATTCAGTCTGCAGAATGTCACGTCTTTCAGCTTCTATTTGGCCTTAGACATATTCTCCACTGTTCCCTACAATCCCAAACAATGCATTGATACATTGCTCAGACCATCTTATATCAGCTGGTGACAATTTAATTTTTCATATAATGTTAATTAATTTGGCAAGTCAATCAGAACAGTTTCTTTTCATCAAGATGGAGATTCATTGTAGGCAACCCCAACTTTACAACGTAAGTCACGTCTATAATTATTATCCTTAGGAATTTCCACTGTAGTTTTGTTCTTTTCTGGGTTTTATTTTTTAATTGTTCTGTTAGTATTCTAATAACTTACAGCTCCAAAATCCTCCAAACAAATTAAAAACAGGATTTTATAATGGTGTCAAACTGTTCTGGCAAAAAAAAAAGGCACATTCACTATTACATTATGGTTGTAGGAATGCTCTTGCGCTATTAAAGCACATTATTTGCCATATTTCTCCCACTTATTCCAGTGTCTTCCCAAACAAAAAACACCCTGGCTCACAAGGCTTGAGAGCCAAAACACAAACTTACCCCAACAACCCCTAACAAAGTTGAAATTTGCCTTCAATTTAATTTCACACTCCCTCTACAAGTAGCAGCCACTTTGAGCTAACCATCATATTTGACACTGAACCTCATGTAGCTGATAGCTGGATTCTAACTATACTCCTATATTACAGTTTCCTTGTGCATGAATCACAAAAAAAATGCTATGCAAGTGCAACAGGTAATTAAGAAGGCAAATGAAATATTGTCCTTCATTGCTAGAGGGATAGAATTCAAAAATAGGGAGGTTATGCTGCAGCTGTATAGGGTACTGGTGAAGCCATACCGGGAGTACTGTGCACAGTTTTGGTCTCCTTACTTGAGAAAGGATGTACTGGCAGTACTTACTTGAGAAAGGGTGTGCAGAGGAGATTCACTAGGTTGATTCCAGAGTTCAGAGGGTTGGTTTAAGGAGAGTTGGAGTAGACTGGGACCAAACCCATTGGACTTTAGAGGAATGAGGGGGGATCTTATAGAAACATATAAAATTATTAAGGGAATAGGTAAGACAGAAGCAGGGAGGCTGTTTACATTTGCTGGTGAAACTAGAGTTAGGGGGATTCACCTCAAAATAAGGAGGAGCAGATTTTGGGCTGAGTTGAGGATGAACTTCTTCATCCAAAGGGTTATGACTTTGTGGAATTCCCTGCCCAGTGAAGCAGTTGAGGTTACCTCATTGAATGCTTTTAAAGACAAAGATAGATTTTTAAACAATAGAGGAATTAAGGGTTATGGTGAGTGGACGGGTAAGTGGAAGTGAGCCCACAAAAAGATCAGCCATGATCTTATTGAATGGCAGGGCAGGCTCAATGGGCCAGATGGCCTACTTCTGCTCCTATGTTCTTATGTACAACTGTGACTACATTTCAAAAGTATTTTATTGGCCGTAAACTGCTTTGAGTGGTCATGAAAAGCACTATATAAATACAATGCTTTTTTTTTTAATTCACAAAGCTGCAGAAGCATATCAATAGCATACTAGCCTTTACAACTTAGCATTAATGCTATTTTCCGCTGCCTTAATTGTGTTAGTATGTTTTTCAGCATCCCAAAACACACAATATTCTTTGATTCAAGTTAGCACATCTCACTTAGTCTGCTCCGCATCACAACACTGGAAATGGTCAAAAGAGACTCATTAGTAACTTGTTGACTTGAAGTTTTAGTTTAGTCTTCCTTGAAATGAAGAGGCAATTCATGCCCCCTTCCCCTTCTGGCCCAGTAGAAATACAGCTGACCCAGTGGCAACACACTGGTATAATCCATTGCCTGATTTGTCACAACATGCAGATCTCAACTCTAAAGGCTAAACTCCAATTTAGTCTGCTTGGTAGTAGGTGACCAAACTATACAAGGTTAAGCTACAGCTTAGTATTTTTCTTTACATTAAAAAGGCATATAAAAACAAAAGTAGTAGAGCTGGATGAACACAGCAGGCCAAGCAGCATCAGAGGAGCAGGAAGGCTGATGTTTCCTTCCTGCATGAAGAAGTTCTGAAGAAGCGTCTCGGCCCGAAATGTCAGCCTTCCTGCTCCTCCGATGCTGCTTGGCCTGCTGTGTTCATCCAGCTCTACACCTTGTTATCTCAGATTCTCCAGCATCTGCAGTTCCTACTATCTCAATAAAAACAAAATGCTGTCCTCACTTTTTCAAGATTACTTCCTGGTCAACATCAAGAGCACTGCCAAATAAAACAAAGTACTGTATAGCAATTACTCCCGAAATACAGATCATTTCTCCATTTCCTACTCAGAGTGCAAAACTATGAAATAGGTCTCTGATTTGCAGATCTACAAAACACGGTCTAAATCACTTTTCCCACAAAACCAACACTTCATCTGCCTTACTGCTGGAATAAATAAAGCCATTCTTTTTGTCTGCCTTTGGCACCTTCATGCGTTTGGTCTCAACCCAGCTGGTCTTTTTACAACCCATCTCAATCTAACAAGGTGCTGCACCATGGCATATAGCTGATTCAAGCACAGCATCTTTCCCAATGCACACTATCCCAAGGCCACTTTTTCCTCCTTTTTATAAGCATACCCAGTGCCTTCCATAATTTTGCTCTACTGCCACCAAAACCCTGTTCCATCACCTCACAGTGAAGCTGTTGACTTGCTCACCGAGCTGGCATGAACGAGAACAAGCCAGCTCAGCAAGCAAGCCAACAATCTCACCCACAATCCGAGCTACAAGTCTTTGCTAAAGCCTTAAACCTCACAGTGAAATTTTACTAACATCTTTTGGGCCAGTACTCCCCTCTCAACTTTCTACAACTTGGTACTCATTCAATACTCAGCACCCATTCTCATCACCAAGTCACACAGTAACATTATGTAATGCTCTCAAAAGTTTCAGTGATATTATGTCCTCCAAGAAATTATCATTTCTCATCCTCACTTTCAAATCTCTAACTGACTTTCATCACCTTCTCAGTGACCTCATCCATGCATTTGTAACTCCTCCAAAACAAAGATTTGGTCCAGCCTTTGTTCTCCATTGTCTCCAATTCATTTGGTCAACCTGATCGTCTGCAACTTCTGCCTACTTCCAAAACCCAAGTGGTTCTGACCACTCTTCTACTCATTCATACTAACCATCTGGTATACTTTTTTCTTCCACATCTAAAGTATCAACTCCTCTCCAACCCATCGACAGTGCGCACAAATACACTACTGCTCCCAATAATGCTGAGTAATTGAAGTCAATCTGCCTTCAATGACATACTTATCAAAATATGGTTCCAATTAAGCAAGATATCATACTGTAACATCACAAGCAATGTTTACATAACACAATATTTTGTCCCCAACCATAAACAGAATTATCATTTTACTGATAAAAGATTTATTCTAAAGCCTACTTTTTGGGAACATGACAAAGGACCATTGGACCTGACAGAGGGAAAATGTTTTCCCTTCTGTACCAGATGGGAGAAATTTCTGTGTTAATCCAATCTGTTTTTGGATTATTTGCAACTTTGAATATTTATTCCATCAGAATTCTTGCCTGTTGGCTTCAAAATACTAACTATGCTGTTTATTCATTCAGGATTGTGAACATTAACAGGTCCTGGCTTTTGGAATGGCAAAAACCCAGTATCAGAAAGGATAGCAGTACTAACATCTTTCTCCTATAGCTCCACCTAAAAAAAAGTGAATATCTATTGTTACAACCAAAAACTTTGTGTAAACAATAATTCTGATTTAATTATAAATGTGGAATTATTGAACAATAAAAATTTCATTGAACTCGTTAAAGGCTTTGCTTAGTGGGAGGCAGTGTAAAAAGGCAGAGAAAATCAAAAATTTAAGAGAATTAACTATTTTAAACTGAATGAACTTATTTTTCAGTACTGGCAATAACGAGTGACAATAGTGTTAGTATTAACAGTAATCAAGGGTAGCTTTGATAGCCCTATCCTGGTGAAATCAGAACACTAGTTACTAATGATGCACTGTGTATTACCCAATAAGGAGGGAGCACTGGGACAGCCATGTTAGCTTTCTTCTATCCTGAAATATACCATTTATAATGTCAACAAATATAATATGTATTATGCAGTTGAGGATTGTTATTATTATGCATTAATATTGTAACTAATACGACTATAAAACAGAAGAGAATGATTATTGCAAACACTGAAAGCACTAAGTACTGCAATATTTATTAAATTTGTAACAAATGATAATAAGCCATCATAATAAGTATTAATAATATATTAACTGTTGTTAGCACCAATTACTGATGAATTAACCGGCAAACAAAGATCAGAAACGGTGATACTAATGGACGACTATGACTTCTGATAATCAGGTGGTACCAGCAATTACGTTAGCTTCATCTTCCCCGCATTAAATAAAATGACAACCGAAGGAAATTTCACATGATATCAACCGATGGGGGCAACAGGCAAAAATGACCAGATATCAGCCAGCGTCGGGGGTGCAGCAGGGTGGTTAATTGGGGCGGATTATGAAGTGGACTGGTCGCTGATTGCTCATTAATGGAAGGATACTGGGTAGTGACAGACTAGGGTTAGTGGTTGAGTTGGTTGCTGATTAGGGGTACACTCACCGCTGTGTGTGTTGAACCAGCGTGGCGCCGCCAGGTGAAGCGGCAACGAGTCGGACAGTGAGGCCGCTCTCGAGCCCAGGTAGAGCTGCAGTTCCCGGGCGCCCGGGCCTCCTCCTCCTCCCGTCTCCCGGTAACCGTTACCGGCCGAGTCGGGACCTCCACCTCCTCCGTTACTGTGCTCCACACCATCGGTCGCCCTGCCGATGCCGCCTCCTCCTCCTCCTCCAGCCCGGCTCCCTCCCCCTCCTCCTCCTCCTCCTCCTCCTCCACCACTACCGTACAGCCCGAAAGGATGAGCCGGTTCCATAGCGGCCACGCTGCTAACCGAGCGAGTCCTGAGCCCCATGGCGGGGCCTCCTCCTCCTCCACGACTACCACCACCACCTCCTCCAGCGGCGGTGCCGGCAGCGGACGCCCGGTAATGGCCGTAGTGAGCGGCGTGGACGGCGCTGTCGTCGCTCGAGACGCCGGGGAAAGCGGTCCGGGAGCGGGCCGCCGTGCTCTGCTTCCCTCCCATGGGCGGCCGGCGGTATAATCAACCCTCCCCTGGAGGCTGTGTCTGTCTGTGTGTGTGTGTGTGTGTGTGTGTGTGAGGGAAAGTAGGGGTGGGGGGGGGAAAGGTGGTAGTTAATCTACCGTCGACCCCCCCCCAAACCTGAGGTGGGGGGGGGGGTTTAACCGCCGCCCGGTCTCACACGAGCGCTCCGGCCGCGGCCATTCTTCCTCCCTCACGGACTGGACTGGACTGGATTGGACTGAGGTGGTGGTGGTGGTGGTGGTGGTGGTGGTGGGGGGGGGGGGGAAGGAGGTGATTATTTTTTTTGGAGGGTGGTGAAGGGAAGCTGCTGTCTAACCCAGGCGGTCTCCAACTTCAACTTCTGCTTTATCGGCCATCTTCTTCTGTTCTAAACCCCCACCCACCCCAACAAACTCCCGGGAGAGCCCCCCCCCCGCCCCTTCCCACCCCGCCCCCCTCGACCCGCTCCCTATCCCTCCCGCACCAGCCCGCTCCCGTTAGCCCAGGTGAGAGCACGGCGCATGAGCAGTTCGTGCTGCCAGCAAAGCCCCCTCCAGTCAGTCACTCACTTCACTCCACTCACTGTCTTGTCTGGCTATCACTGTTCTCTACACTTTGATACAAGCAGGATGTGGCATACAGGAAGCAACAGTTTCTTCCCCCCCACTAGGTATTATCCTTTTTTTTGCATTTGACCAGCTTCTCCTGTTCCTCCCCCAACAAGTCTGCATCTCATTGGCAGGTATTTCCCAACACTCGTTTTGCACCAGGATAGCTTGTTTCTTTTTTTTTTCTCTCTCTCTCGATGTTGTTTGGGTGTCTTGTCTGTCAACTCACTCGTGATGACATTTCTCACCCCAGTCGAAATGTCAAGGTTAGGCAACGACAGACATGAGATCCCTATCACATTTCCCGCAGTCTTCGTATTGGTTATTTCTTACCCCCACACGCACGCACGGAAAAAACAATTCAAATCTTGTCTGGCCAGAGTTCTGAAAAGCAAGGAAATGAGGTTTATTTCAAGGAAAGGCGTTTGTTTTAAAACTTTTTCGCGACCCTCCATTAAACAAAGCAGTTTGTCTTGTTCGGATACAGCTAGCCCACCAGGATGCCCGGAGCTGTCTTTGGTATAGTAAGCAGCATTGACAGATGGTTTATTTTGTCAGTGCTCCGGGCAATCCAACATATGAAGAGGTAGTATACGGACAGCTTTCCAACTGGGTGGAAATGAGGGGAGCTCACTGAATTACGCTTGTGTGTTAATTGGCGTCACTCTTCCAGGAGTACGTCCGGAGTTAGTAGTCAGTCGAGACCGGCTCAGTGGGAAAGTGCATTCACCTTTAGAAAGATTGGTACTAGCGCCAGTCACAAGAGATGTCCCGCGAGCCTGGAGGTGGAGGAAAACCGGTCTAAACAATGACCACTGTACTTTTCAACCACATTGTTCACAGGATGTTCATCGTCTTATTTCAAAGAAAGCAGTAAAACAATCGGCCAGTAGCAGCCCCAAGTGAGCGTGAGGTGCCCCATGCGCAACCCAAGAATTTTTAAACAGAAACAGAAATTTCTGGAAAAACAGCAGAGTTAACGTTTCGAGCCCAGTGACCCTTCTTCTGAACAAAACTGCTTAATCTGATTCACACTGGCAGAGAATTGCTTGCCATTTGCTTTTCCCCTCCACAGCACGTCCCTGGCTTCATACATCATTGTAACAAAACATTCTCCAGAACCTCGGAATGTAAGAATTGCCAAATAAGACACTGGTACCTCAACCTCACTAATCCCATCTGGGGTGAATTGGGGCCAGCATGTAGTAACTGTTCTATGTAAACGCACGGTGTTACAATGATGTACGCCCCACAGAGGGACGAGTACGAATTGTATTCCTTCTCCGCCCGATACAATTAAATCCCAGGGAGAATCCTGGCCAACAGATCATGGATTAATTGATATTGTACTAGATTGCACGAAACGAATCTAGCTGTTTATTCTCAAAATGCAAAATCTGTGACGATGTACGCATTAAAAAGAACCTTTAACTTTTTTGCCAGGCGTGTTTTGTTTTCAGCAAACAAAAATTGCTGGAGACCACACCGGGTCAAGACAGTATCCATGGAGAGAAAGCAAGCTAACGTTTCAAGTATGGGTGGCTTTTTTTTTGTTTTCAGTACAGATTACAACATCTGCAGTAATTTGCTCCTACACTTTTTTTTCTGTCTGGTTGACTGCAATATTTGTGATGACATTTACAACACGCTCTTGGAGGAAGGACGCCATTCGCAATAAACTGTTTATGGAAAGTCCTCAGTCATGAACTTTTTCAATTTATCATGGGACCAAATGGAGAAATCCATACCTATTTATTGTGACGCTACTTTTTTTTTGAAAAAAGCTGATTGGAAACTCATTTCATCTAGTGCAAAGCCAACCATTTCTGTTTTCATCTTTTTAAAGAAAGCAACAAGAGGAAGTATATATTTCTGGCCACCTGAAATGAGACGCAAAATGCACAGCGGGTCAGTAGGTATCTGTGGAGAGATGAGCCAGCTTAGAGTTATAGAGTCATACAGCACGGAAACAGACCTTTTACCCAACTCATTCATGCCGACCTGGTTTGTTGTTTCAACCCCCCACCCAGGCCGCGCAGGACTGTGGAGATCGCCCTGCTGCTCTGTACAGAAGCTGTCTGGCACATTCAAGGCCGGGCCCATTTTTACTGAGCTTGGTCCCGGAAGTTAGTTTGACTTCGACTGCAGGAAGTCTAACTTTTGTCGAGATAAATAATTATAACGGGTTCCAAAATTGACATTCAAGCCGGCGGTGGTTTGGGAATTGATGGATGGAAATTTCAACCCAATCTTTCCATTCCATAGGGTTCGGGTTTGGTGGGAGTTTTGTACTTCAGCCTGCTGCGTCCTCCATTTTATCCCATCATAGGTAACAATCATAGAGCTGCTCTTTTGACACGATCAGCCCCTGGCACACTAGAACATTGTTGTGACAGATACGCATGTGACTTGACAGTGCATGCTTCTAAAAAGGTGCATGCAAATATTAACCAGGGTTCAGTCCATGATTTGGGATTTGCACTATAGAGCAGCACAAGTAACTAGGAATAGTTGAAAGTGAATGGGTAGAATGTCACAGAAATGTACAGTCATCAGCTTCAACTGCAGAAGCGTCATTGGACTCCAAATGTTAATTCTGTTTCTCTCTCCACAGATGCTTCCAGACCTGATGGGTTTCTCCTGCAATTTCTGTTTTTGTTATCTTTAACTGGAGGATCTCAGACATGCAGAAACTTTTGGGGAAGTCTGTATAAGCAAGGTTGGTCCGGGGAAAATGGGAAGGTTAAAAGGAACGTTTTTGGTGTGGAATAAAGTGCTATTGCAGTCAGTGTGGGCAGAGTCTGGATACAGGAAACTGAGATCAGATCACAAAACAAGTCTTGCCACAGGCTAGAAGAATTACTGTGGCACTTCCTGCCCTTCTTTTCAACATGTTCACCAATGCCTCTGCTACCTCAGCCTGCCCCAGTCTGAACCTTTTCCTGTATTTCCACACAACTTCAGGAAGGTGTGTCCAACCCTTAAAGCATCACCTGTCCCACATATCGCAGAATCTGCAGATCACGCAACGGATATATAAACCATCGCAGAATCCACTGTAACGAGAAGCAAGCCATCCTCAATCCTAAGGGAGAACCTTCAAAGTTGATAAGTTGTTAAACAATATAAATGTAAACACTGTGCGATTCAGTATTAGTTCACATTTTTACTTCATTATTTCCATTCATTGGCAATGAAAGACTCGCTGACATCAATAAGTAAAAGTAAGCATTCCAGATTACCATCTGTTTGCTCCTGAATCGTCGAGAAATGAAAAAAAAAAGCCAAAGTTTCTCAACTCCAGAACCAAATGAAAACAGGGCAAAGAGGGAGGGTTATATAGATTTCGACACAACCGTTCGATTATGATGAAGTTTGGAAATATCTAGAAAAATCATAGCCAGCCCACCTGCAAGCGCAAGAGTACCATTAAAGGCTGGTGGCCAGCTATATATCTCACACAGGATTAGTGGCGTCGGTAGCATTATGGTATTACTGGAGCTAACTGTGAAGCTGTAATCATGTATAATGTTCTGGTTGAGGGTGGAGAGGAGGGCAGACCATTGACTCACATACTGCATCAAATCACAAAGGATTAACCAATAGCAAAAAGAATAAGGTTGGACTGACATAGGGGTGGGGGTGAAGGTTGTTTTAAAACAAAGGATTGTGGAAGGAATTGCTATACTTTTAAAAACAAGTGACTGAAAGCCCTTGCGTTATATAACTGCTTTGTTCAAGGAGTGCGGAAGGCTGTTCATAGATGGAGGGGTGTACGCAAAGTGAGGTTTGGCCAACAGCATGTAGCGGATTGAATTTGTGCAATTGCGACTAGTCATGGATGCCCCAGGTCATCAGCCTGACGACTTTCTGATTGGATCCTGGGTGGTTGAACAGCTTGTGGGTGGGAACAATGTAATGAAACTCCTTCGGACTTGTGGAAGAGCGGATTGAGTGTCACCCTCCTGACAGTAAAAATACCTGAAGCTTGAAGAAAACCAATGATTTTCCCTCCTGAGTTGCTATAAGCTGTCGCCAATAACTTTGCAGTCATTTTAGCAATCACCCTGTGCCTCCTACAAAGAATGAAGGAACTTGGATTTGAACCTGAATTTGAAGCCTAGGTCAAGTTGCTGGAGTTGATTAAATGGCGTGGGGAAGTGGGATGTTTCTTCTGCTTGGGTGAATGAAATGACTCCCAAATTGGTCTGCCCCAAAACCCCAGCCTTTAAAATCAAGGAAGGTTATTGCTTAAAGGTTGAGAGCAAATCAATTATTCTTTGTAATGTGTTGACTGGTTTTCTATGATGCTGCATATTGAAGATGACAAGTTTGATGACAGCAGGGGCACTGTCCAACAGTAGTACCTCTTCTCAGCACTGGGGACAGTCTTGGATCTAATAGGAATAAGGTGGAAAAGTCTAAGAGCACTGGGAACAGAGTGAATCCAGAAAAAACTGGTAAGACAGTTTTGGGTGCAGTGGGATTAAGACCTAGAGTCTGTAATTACCTAGTGACAGGAGCCAGTTGGCATGGAGCTTTTTCTTCTCATTTAAA